GAAGACCTTAGACTCGTATATAACTGATGGTCAACAGGCTTTTATTGATTATGAATTTTTGCTCACTCTGTATTTAACTCCACTTCATTTTTGTGGAATACCAGATTTAAAATTTCTATAATACACAATATAGCGATAATTCTTTACTTCAATGTTAATTTGATTAAATGACTCAGAGTGTGAAATAGAAGTTTTATGGCTACATAACGATTCAATATAATAAAGGAGTAAAATGATAACAATAACAAATTTAGCCAGGGTGGGAAACGATTTCAAATTGAAAACGGTAATCTTTTACCCTCCATAATGTGATTAAAATAAATGCGATTGCAGGCAGTTTTATTGGGCCAGAGTAATTTTAAATGTGTCACATACGACAATAATGATAATATTTCGTGATCTGATTGACCAAATAACGTCTTTCAATTATTTATTTTTATGTAAGGTATTGGAGGAAATGAAATTATATATTATTATAGTCACCATAGCTCAAGTGGTTAGAGCAGCGGCGTATTGTGCTGAAGGTAGTGGGTTCGAATTCCGCTCGTGACACTAACTTTTCCTGTCCATCAATACCTCACATAAAACGATTAATTTATTGAAAAAAGTTAATGATAATCATTGTTCAAAATTTCAAATATAAACAAATTGTATGTGCTTCGATACAACTGATTGACCTGAAATGAAATGAAAATTAAAATTTTTAATAAAACAAGACTTTTAATAAAAAAGAAAGAAAAGTTTGGTTTTTCTGGGATCGGTTTTGGAAGCTGCTTTTAAAAAACCGGCAGATTTTGAGGGCAACGATGAAGCTGCTCATTGGGCGAGCAAACAACTGAAAGGGGGTTGTCGTCACTCGGACATGCATTATGCATTTAATGTTCACGTTTCGAGATTGGGGATTGTCCGCGTCTTGAGGGGCGGGGGATGTTTTCTTCGTTCCGTTTACGGTCTTGCCTCCCATCAAATCATAGCACTGTAAACAGATCAATACTGAAGTTGATATCTTCGGACGACAGTGGTGTTTCGCTTCTTCCGTGAAGATCCGAAGACGGGGGCCGACGTGGAAATCTGCCAGGAGTCATCGTCCTCTTCCTAGGGGGGGGGGGGAAGTTAAATTTTGCACCTCTTCATCTACGGGAAAAATTTGAACGTTTGTCGCTAGCTTGTAGAAGAGATATAGAGAGAACTGGCGGCTTAATTTTCTTTCACGAAAACTTTACTTAATCCACTTATTAAATTTTATTAAATAATTGTACCATCCTCGAAATACAAACGTCAAATTCTGAATCTTAGTTCTATGCTACAAAGCCAACACTATTTTTGCAAATACAGGCAGCATTAGCATAAATAATTATAAATTACTATCTAAATTTTTAAACATTGTTAGATGTCGTGTTTGAAGTTTGTGAAGAAACGATTTTAAACCCATTTTACAATTTATTTTACACTGTCTGCTTACACAGTCCTAGCTCAATGTAATCCTCATTCATTCTTAACGTCTCCAACAAATTCTGATAGATCTTCCATCCATTTATCATGATTTCTGCTACATCCTTGTTGAAAAATGTCATTGAATTTATTTTGCTATTCACATAGCATATCATTTCGTATTTGTTTAAGTTCAAAAATGTGTAATTTACCTATGTAAAACACGGAAATAATTTCTTTCTAGGGGTGTTTGGTTGAAAATGGAAATTTCTCTTTTAATTAGTAACATTAGCAGCTAATAACAAGGTAGTTTACTCTTTATTTATTAATTAAATAAATCTTTATTATTAATTATGAATATCAGCCAGCTGTGGGGTAATCAGGATATTTTGTATTTTATTATTTCTATAGCTTATGAATAGGTTACGCTGTCTATAGTTTGACAGAATATTTAGTACATGAGTGATGAATAATTTTAGGGGATAAAGAAAACATTTCTGCTCGATTTTAAGTTCACAACGTTAAGTTTGTAGAACAGCATTGTATTAACAATCTCATCATCTCAATCTATTTGAAAAATTTATTTTCCAATGATACCCATGAAAGATAACACTACACAGTACAGCATCTATCTTTTTATACGTTCAAAGCAAAAAAACCGGACACTCGTGTTATGCTGTTTATTTCATTTTTTCATTCATGTTTTATCGTTATATTGATTACAACATACTTATTTTAATGTAAACCAAACTAAACGAGATCAAACATCCATGAGTTTTATTAAAAATTATATAATAATTATCTGCGGGAAAAAATTACCAAAACATCGAAAAGGTTTTTAATGATACATTAAAATGTAACTAACAAGTTATTACCTAGTTTTGCTCTTAATAACGCGTATTACCTCTTCAGGTCACGTGTTTTTTCTTTTTTTACGAGGGTTCGCAACATGAGGTTCCCAAGAACTCTTTGTCACAAGACAAGAGGATATTTAACGTCCGCACCTGGCATATTCGGCCTTATCGGGCGTTTTGATTCTCAAGATGAGAGCTGACGCACTTCCGCATACGACGGAATGGTGTTACCGCCGCAGGATTGGTGAAAAAGCGCCCCAGCCCCTAAGGGGGGTTCGCAACATTGCTTTCCCGATTACTCATCGTCAACAAGACAAGAGGATCTTTAACGTCCGCACCTAGCCTATCGCGACAGCGAATCATCCGTAAACATAACATTCCAATCGATGTTCTCTTCTAAGACTCGCTGCACCATTCTTCTGACTCCTGGCGAGTACCTAGAGCAGAGCCTGTTGTTGGGTGATGCCTGCATGGGCTTCCTTTACCGAAGGCAGTCTCTTCTATGGGGTAGTTAGAAGTAGTTAGAAATTCCACTTTAAACGAAACCGCGAGCGGAGCGGATCCGGAGGAGAGGCTGTCTATCTAGGGAGTGCGTGGGAGACGGGCTCATGCATTTCGGCCCTATCGGGTATCCCTTTACGCGCGGCATACGGTGAAGTGTACAATGTTTATCCACCCCTTCGGAAGAGGCAGGATAAGTCAACATGTCTTACAGCCGAACGTGCGCGGAAGTGAGTCGCTCCTAACTTGAGGATCTAAACGTGAAATGAGACCTTTTGTGCCAGGTGCACGCACTAAAGAATCTCAATCTCATAAGACATTGCAACCCACAATGGGAAACATACATACACCATTCTCCTGAGTTGCTGGTGGCGGGCTGTTGCTGCAGGTCGTCTCAAAGGGGCATACGATGTGTGTTTCAATTAATAGCATAAGAATAAATTAGAAATATTCCTATTCATTTTTAAGCAGTTTATAATCTCAATGGCTATTAATCTTCAATCATTTCTAGGCATCTCTAACCATCACTAACCAATTTGATCAAATATCATATACATCCCCAGTCATTACAAACTACCCCAAACCACCACATCCCACTGGGCATTATCAATTTTTCGTTAGGTTGGCCTGCTTTTGTTTGTACGTTTGCATTTTTTTTTTTAACGAGGGTTCGCAACAGCAGATGTCATATAAACCCTCAGGGTGCCGGTGTTTTTGAAAACGAAAAACCATTTGTAAGTATATCGTGTTCGAATGCAGGGCCGCTGGATTTGAACCCGGGATCTTTACCTTATAGTGATGTGCGCCGTGTGGCCACCGACGCTCCTTCTACTTCAACAAGAGCGTTTTGAAGCCGTTCAACGCTTGTTGGAGTTAGCGAACGATGTCTAATGCGTCTCTTTATCATGTCCCATAAGTGTTCTATGAGATTCATATCAGGACAACTTGCTGGCCAATTCATCGTAGAAATCGCTACATCCTCCGTACAATGTGTGACACTCGAGCTGAATGCGGTCGAGCATTATCATGCATTAACACAAACTTGTCCCCTTAGTGCAGTCAAAGATCCATTCTATCAGTTAGGTACGGGAAAGAACGTCGATTCCATCCAATATTATACTATAACTATCTGCCATTAAAACGGCTGTGACCCATACATAGCACATGAAGCAAAACGTTCTCCACGGTTCCGGTCATCTGATTGCAAAATCCGGCACTCATCTGTGAAGAATCAGCCTCCTCAAGTGTCCAAGCGGGATTTGAACCTGATGCGGGACCTCCATTCTCACCAAGCCTTTTGATGACTGGTTTAGAGCTCGTCCTTACACTATGGACCATTTGGAGTTGACTACCTATCAAGGGAGCCATAGATTGACGATTCCGTAGTGCGGTAAGAGCAATAAAAATTATCGTCTCCAACTTTCGTACATCGTAGTCGACCACTACCATCACTCAAACTTCCGGTGATCCTAAACGCTGTTGACCATCACTACACCCAGGATTTGGGCTACGTAACGGTTGGCCAACGCACCAAAGTAATTGTTTACTCAAATTTATTGATACAAAAAGAAAACATTGAAAAACCAATTAACTCATTTGACAAGTTGACTCTGGAAACGATGAAATTAAACTGATCTTCTTTATTTTTAATCTAAAGAGTGTAAAAGGATTAGAAACACTCTATAAAGGTAAACAAACGAGTTATGAATGTTTTGTTTATATTTTAAGTCAACTAATCTTCATACCTTGTTATCACGGAAAATAAATATATACAAGTGTTCTTTTTTTAGTGTTTTTTTGAAGAATACTCATTTGGTAAATTTTAATGACATTATGACAGAAAGAAAGCCCGCTGTTAATTTTAGAGTCTAAAATTGAAATTGAAATTATAATTAATTAAATATTAATATCAATATATTTGTCTTTCTATTAAAGTTTAAAATTCAATTTTATCTTTGATTTACAAACTCGTATCGTATTATATGTCATATATTATTTACCCAAAGATACCAACCCTAAATGTTTGTGGTTTGAAAATAATTGGATTAAACTAAGAAATGTTTGACCTGAATGAACATACAGTATACGGCGACATATTACTGTTATAGATGCGTAATTAACCAGGGAAAATCAATAGCTCATATTCGCTGTTAATTAATAACTAAGCATCAGAGAAACACGAGAGGAAAGCTGAAGGGTCGAATTGGTACTTACTCATCCGCTTCCATCACTTCTTCTTGCTCCATCTGAAGGGCGCAACTACTCTCTCATGGTAAAACGCCTGAAACACAAGTTTTATGTGATAAGTCCGGATTCGAATTTGTTAAAGCTAATGTGAACAAATGTTTTGCGCTAGGGAAGGAAGGCAAGATGCTTAACAAACGGAATTAAATTTGTGTTGATTACATTATTTCGCCTTTTAAATTTTAAAAGCGAAGATATGAAAGAGAATGTGATTTTTCGAGGTTCATTATATGTGGAATGTCATCACTGTCATCATAACGTGGTGTACAAAAAGCATACCGTATTTTTGGAATAATTGTTTACTCTTAAGACTTTTCCAAATTAAGCTTGTTAAAAGGTGTATCAAGCATTTTTCCAACTGTATTTACTTACCATGTTTATCTTTTGCGCCATTGTAAGCATTGAGTAAAAATTTAATATGCGACCTGAACAAAGAAGTTTTTATAAACTTTAAAAGATAAATTTTATTTGTAATTTCTCATTATTGTCAAGTCTAGAAATGGTAATGCTTTTTTCTTTTCTTTTTGTACTGTGAACTTTAAATATGGATGTGAACTATTATCAATTAACGATGTATCCTCTTTGAGCATAATTACAATAATGAGGGGAGTCGGTGGCCCCAACGGTTTAGGCGTTGACACGGCGCTCATAACTGTAAGGTAAAGGTCCCGGGTTCGAATGCAGGACCGCAAGATTCTTTTCTTTTTCTGCTGTGAACTTTAAATTTGGATGTGAACTAATTATAAATTAGTATGTTTATGATTATATGATATGATATGATTATATATATTGGGTTGTCCGGAAAATAATGCAGGATTTTAAGTTTTCATTAAAAAAAATCTATATAAAATATTCTGTTTACGTTTACAGGATTACTCATTTGTATGAATNTATGGTATGATTATATGATATTATGATTATTATATGATACATTGATGTATCAATGTCTTCTTTAAGTATAATTGCAATAATGAGGGACGACGGTAGCCCCATCGGTTTAGGAATTGACACGGCGCTTATCACTGTAGGGTAAAGGTCCCGGGTTCGAATCCAGCGGTCCTGTATTCGAACACACTTACAAATGTTTTTTTTTTTTGTCAAAAACATCGGCACCCCGAGGGGTCATATAACCTCGTAGTTGAAATAGCCTCGTTATCAAAAAGATAGAACAAAGAAAGAGTAGATAAAATATTAATTCATTTATATAAATCCCTGAAACAATTGGTGATAACCCTCCATCATTGATAAGCCTAATAACCTTTTATACATAATGTAATTAAACATAAAACATAAATTTATTATACATTTTCCTAAGATTTCCAAAAGTAGAAGAGGAGAATTTTTCCATCTTTTACATTTTAAATTAGTGCAAAATTGATATGACTGCCAATCATATTGTGTTAATAAATCACTACTCTTTCAAAATGTACAATCAATAGACAAATCTTTTTTCGGCCTACAACAATTAATATAGCAATATTGTTTCTTAGATTCATTGAGAAATGGCAAAAAGGAGGGAAACTTCAAAAGGTTAAGGGGGTTGAGATGGGAAGTTAGTGTCCGAGTGGATCGAGGTCACGATAGCTCAAGTGGTAGAGCAGCGGCGTATCTAGCCGAAGATCGTGGGTTCGAATCCCGCTCGTGCCATTGACTTTTTTATCTCAACTAAAAACCTTAATTAATTGAAATATATTAATTGGTCAAGCGGACCACGAAATTAGTGAATTTAATGATTTAAAATGAAGTATACTTCACTAAAGCTCTCCGTGGCCATTTCATTTGTCGTCGAGAATCCAATCCGATTACACGACATTTGAAAAATGGCAAAAAGGAGGGAAAATTCAAAAGGTGGGGTTGAGATGGGAAGTTAGTGTCCGAGTGGATCGAGGTCACGATAGCTCAAGTGGTAGAGCAGCGGCGTATCTAGCCGAAGATCGTGGGTTCGAATCCCGCTCGTGCCATTGACTTTTTTATCTCAACTAAAAACCTTAATTAATTGTTTCTTAGATTTTTTTCTTTGCGGAATGGCCAAACTGTTTTGTCGTTTCTGATCATCCTGATGTGCCTATTCTCATTGCGTTTCGTCAATCTTCGGTTGTTGGTATATGCATTGTTCTTTATGCTTATAAATCAGTCTTATTTCTACGTGACTATTACGCATCATTGACACGTACATCTTTTTTTATTTTTTAGCCAGAAAGTAGTTGGTTATTCAGTCTCCAAAATTGTATCTTATCAAAAGTGACCGAAGTATTCCATAGAGAAGTCTTCTTTACGGTTTTTCTGTTCATTTCGAGGAAGAACTCGTGGATAATTGGGGACAGGGACGAAATGTCATGCCGGTAAAATATATACAGAAGTCTTATCTTCCATAGGGAATTCTGACCGCTAAATAAAGATAGCGTCATTCATTAGTGTAATTGCTCTTACTCGACTTTCATTCGGAAATTGCCTATAACTCCCCCGGTGAGATAGATTCACCGATATTTGGCCAAAACTGAACGTTATAAAAAATAATATTTTGAAATTTTGCGAAAGAGTATTAAAAAGAATTTATAGTATAGCAATTATGACATAAAAATTATTCCTATAACCGTGAAGATAATATTTATAATTAAAATAACATTTCAATTATAAACTCTCGTATAATTCGTCTATCATTTCAAAATAGCTCATTACATGAGACTATTTGTTTGTTACAATAGTAAACAATTTAGGTTTAATTACAATAATTAATAATCTTTCCTAAGAAAAATATCTTCTCACTGAAAGAACAAATAAAACTTGGGTATTGAGTAAATTTTACGTGCATAAAATTAAACAGAATATTTTTTTAACATTGCCAATTAAATTTTTAGATTTTTTCAAGATTTTTTAGAGTTACTCTTGATTATATAGATATATTTTTCATGTTTTGAATTAAATTAATTTTTTATTGTAAGAAATTTTCCCTTCTGGATCCAGCCTTCGCAGGAAATGGCTGCTATTAATTTAAGAATAATGATTATTTGGAGATCGTGAGGTGCGGTCTGGTGTGACGTAGGTTTTAGAAAAACCTTTTTTTTATCGTGCCAACGTTTCGATCTTTATTGAGATCATCTTCAGAGCTCAAAGTTGTGTGGGGCACTGTAAACACGACACACAAGAATGACCCAATTACGCAGAAAACAAACACTCTCACGATCTCCGAATAATCATCGACTAACGGTCACTAATCACCACACATTTCTACGCGAGAAGAACGAAGAACATGGGATTTTAAGGATAATATTTTGTTCTTTTATACAATTGTTTGTCTCGATAGATGTATAATGCAATACCACAATTTTATTTAACAATGGTTGAACGTTCTAGAATATTGTTATTTTACCAATGTTTTATAACACAATGAAACCATTTCTCTTAATTTACTTAAGGGGAAAGCGACCGTTTTTCGAACCAAAAAAGAGTATTTTGTATCTTGCCTTGTTGAAACTTGAAACTTGCTGATTGAAGGCGCTCGACTTTTATTAATATTCTTTGTACATGGAAGCTTTCGTCCCAACTTTAGGTTTTACTCAAAATTAACTATTCACAATTTCTATAAGGCTATGCAATCGTAAAATGCGAAGAAAAATAGAACAAAAATTAGATTGTTCGTACTAGACTTTCTTACTTTCATAAAATGGTACCGAAATACGACTTTATACGTCTATCTTAGAACAACTAAATGATTTTGAAAAGCTGCTGAAATGCTAGTAGTATTTAAGAGCTTTATGATCAAATAGAGTTTGCAAACTCTACTGACAAAATTTTTGAAATCAAAATTAAAATTTATCAAGTAGAAGGGGAATTTAAAAATAGTTGTTCGTCCGACAAATGGTTCGCTACCTCTTTAAGTTTTAATTGTTAAATAAATAAATCAAATTATTAGAAGTGATTTTTTTCACTTCTCGATCCTAATTGGCTGATCCGTTTGATGAACAATTTTTAGGTTTACCGTTTCTTTTGCAACATAATGTAAAAAAATGAAGAAATAATGCAATGTTGGTTGTTTTAAAGACATTTTGCATGTTGTGTAATATAAATGAAAAAGTTTTGAATTAATTAAAAAAACAAATAATTACATAGATGTTGTGGATGAAAAAGTATCTCTTCTAAATATTCATGATATGTAAACAAATATCGCGCACACGCCCACAAACAAAAAACACTAATCTGCTATTTAGATGTTTTATTCTGTGTAACATTTCAGATATTTTAATATTTTAGAGATTCCTTTTCTTACAGATTTCAATGAAATATCTTACAATTTTGCATTATTCAAACATAAAGCTTAATTGTTTGTTTATTTTAAATATATTATTTATGGCATCACGTGGAGCCATGACTATCGGATATTCTTCATCAAGTTGGTCATATAACCTGTACTTTGTTCTATTATAAAATTTTATACATGAAAAATAATTTACATTGATACGAAGTAAATAAGTGATTTTTACATAAAAAGTACAATTCTATGTATAAATGTCGAGTTCTGGTGTTTTTGCATCGGTCCGTGAAGTCCGCTGATTTGTCAAACTGGGTACGGGTCGCATGAATGGCTTCACGGTCTAAAAGGGGACTCGCCACAGTCTAAAGATACTCGACAGTAAAACCGTGCTATTTATCAGCCGTTACGGTGAGTTAACTGCAATCAAGTATCCAGTTTAAAAACGGACACTTTTACGACGTTCATCTCAAAATTCGGTTTTCAACCAGTCCGAGTGCCGAGATTCCACCCGCAGAACTGTTAAAACTAAAGCTTGGATATCTGTATCGACATATTCCTACATATTCAAAGATTCGTCTATCCGCTACATAAAAACACCCTCTTCTTTCTCGGAAATAAAATATCCGGACCCCCTTCATTCACTCATGAGATTGACATAGAAAACAAAATCAACTTTATTTATTTTTTTCTTGGAAACATCTCACTCAATTCTTTCCAACCTAGATTGAGCTCAACATAAACATACCGTAATTTAAATAAAATAAATATGAAGCTGAAGAATTTTT